CCAAAGCATAAGCATGTTTCTTACAAAAGGAGCAATAATTTAGAACATTATTGGAAAGATGCTTAGAGTTCTTAATACAATGTGGGATAATAGCAAATAATTATGTGTGTTATTTGGAGTAATTATAATTATTTGAAATTATTTTCAAAGGAATGCTGGGTGGTCTCAATATATTTTTAAGCTGCTCTAGCTCTGCAAAGAAGTGAAGATATGATTATGTAGTGATGGATCCCTCCTCCAATCTCTGCCCTGAATAATTAACCTAGGATACTCCCTTCTATAGTGAAATTGTATAGAGAAACAAACTGAGAGTTTCATCAGCTGCTTGATTTCATTTGAAGTGAAATATTTTTCAATAAGAGGAACCATTTCACCAAAGCCAGGTCATTTTTCATTTTTTAAATAAATATACATCTCACATGTAAGAAAACTATTCACAAAATTTACAAAGTATACATGATATACACATTGCAAAGTATAAGTCTTGCAATATAGTTATCCCTATCCTTCTATAGTAGATGGACAAGCAATCATTCTGAGGCCTGCAATAACTCTGCTTGCTACGCATAACGAAGAGCTCCTACTCTGAGTCCTTGGAACAGATTGTCATCAGTCAAGTAGAAATATATGGAATGTCTTCCAAAAAGCCACAGCAGATGATGGATCTGGCCACTCCTGTTGTAGAGCACACAGTGAACACACAGGTGGACACTGCAGTTCTCAATTCTTCTTCTCTGATGTAAATGAGACCATGCTGATATCTAATGTTAAACAACCAAACTTCACGCAGAGATATCTGAACTTAACCACTTGTGGCATCTTGCTGTTTTCACAATGTTGTTTTCTGTGCTGTGAGAGCAGTAGTTCCGTAACTGTTCACATGGCTGTACTTGCGATCTTTCAACAACTCTCCTCCTTTAACAAGACACATGCCGTCCACCAATAATGCAGTCGTCATACAGAAGCTAGACAAGGGAAATTTCAAAAAATCAGTTTATGGATGGCTTTAAATATGAGTATTTCTGGTATCTGCTACTCTTGGACTGCACAGGTGTCAATAATTTTAACTGAATGCACACAAGAAAGTTGGCATCACATTTTGCACCAGTATAACTTCCAAAAATCTAAGGGGAATAGTGATTTAAGCCTGTCAAGAAGTTTTACTCTTAGCCTTTGGAGGGTTAACTGACTAAAGATAAACACAGATACAAGACTGTAATCAGATCACTAGCTATACAGTATAATGTGCAAAATATTTTTGTCAATATCTTATTTGTGTGCATTTAAAAAAAGTGATTTAGTGCGGCGATTTACTTGATGCAAGTGCACCCAATCAGAAACATCTCTACGGCTTTCCGTATCCATAGGTTTAGTTGCAGATTACTGTAAAAATTTAATTCACTAGTAAAAGGATTATAAGGAACTGAAGGCAACTATCATCTACTCAAGGATACTGGATTTGCACACTTCCTGCCTCATACAGTTAGAAAAGGTTGTGCAAACTACAGTAGAATTCTGGCTGTACAGAAAGAAGAACAACTTACTTCATCTTCCGTGTACTCTGATTCCGATTCACAGCTTTCTTCATCTTCACTTTCCGGTAGCATCTGCAAATCGAGCGTGGTAAATTGTCTCAACTGTTCCTGTATGAAGGAGCTGTTTCTTCCCCAGGTGAGCTGGTACGGAGAATAGCCCTGGTAGGTTACTTTGTTCACATCTGCCCCATGCTTCAATAAAAGGGATACCAGTCCTTCGTTCTGCAGATCTACAGCCAAATGCAAGGCAGTTCTACCATTGCATGGCTCCTAGTTTAGTGAAAAACAAAAGGGAACATTTAGTTAGCAATGGCAAAGAGTTACTTTCAAAATAATGATATGGTCTGTTTATTTTCCCCAGACAGAAACCTACCTGTGCATTGACATCTGCTCCCAAGCACAAAAGGCATTCTACAATGGCCAGGTATCCTTGAATAGAAGCCAGATGGAGACACGTGTGTCCTATTAAATAAACATGGGTGAGAGAAGGACAAGATTAGTTCCTGTGGCAAGAAATTGCTTCAAGACATTGGCTGTAATTTTGAAAATCATGCACACTCTAATTTTCTACTTGTTATTTAGCACAGCTTGTCTACACAAAGTAGCTTGGTGAGTTGGGCTTAATTGTCAGTTGTTCTTTGACTACTATTATTCCAACAAAGCAAACTTCCTTGAGCATAATGCCTGCCCCAAGGGAGAATTCTCAGAATTTTCAGCTAGCACAAACTGTGATCCCAACAATCTGGAGGATACTAACTTGGGGAATGCCACTGTACCAAGGCAAGGGAAACCATGCATTTCCTTTCCTACTTTACTGATACTTGTCACAATAACTTTCGAAGAGAATGCAAGCCAGTCTCTGAACCAACAGGCAACAGCTTGATGCCAAGGCCAGCAATGCTGCAGTGAGCAATCCACCTATCAAGTCAATGTCTGCACTTACCACTATAGTTTGCTGACTGTAGGAGAGAATGGAGCTGATGCTTCTGGCAATACTGCGTAAGGACATATACTCCTCTAAGGGAGCCTTGTTCGCAAGCAATGTGCAGTGGTGTGTTTCCTCGGAAGTCTCTGATTTCTGCATCACATCCTGCTTTCAGAAGAGTCTCAGCAATTTCAGGCTGGTCTGTGATTGCTGCCAAGTGAAGTGCAGTCTACAAAGCATAAGTGAGAAAGTAAGGCCATCTGCTAGAAAAACAACACAATCTCTTAAATATAGATATGTCCACACAGCCCTTCATTTATTTCAGTTAGCGAATCCTGCTATTTGTGTGTGTGTATGTATGTGCACGTTCAGGATCGGCCATTTCAAAGAAGTTTTAAAAGTCTGCAACTTTATTTTATTCATTAGATCCACAGACTGCCTTTCCTCCAGAAAGTGAAGTACATGTTACTCTTGTTAATTTTTTTCTCAGAACAGTAATTTTGTAAAGGAGGCTGAGCTGGGAGACAGTGCCTGGCTAAAGTCTTCCAGTGAGCTTGCATGGCTGAGAAAGGACCTGAAATATTTGTCAATTTTTTGTTTTTTTTGTCAAGGAATACATTCTCCAGTATTTTGAGCAGCTTTAGGTAAAGCATCTTTTGTGGATCTCAGCACACAAACTAGCCTTTCTTTCCAAATGCTTGTGCAAATATGACACTAGTGTACAAGTGATGCTGGAGTTCTCAGGCCAATGTCCATGGAAAGCCACTTCTAAGTGAGGATAATTTAAGGCCAGTGAAGCTGAACAATCCTTAAACTGATATTCTTGACATCAAATAGTCTTGGCAATGGACACAGAAGAAGTTTAAGAAAATATATTTGCTCCTTTAGCACTCATGAGGATACTTGTGTATGTTATTTTGTATATAACTTATACCCTTTTCTACTTTTTTTCTTATTAAACCTTTCCTATTAAAGCAATAGATGAAAGGTACATTTGAAACTGCCTCCATGTTGGCTATAGCACCATGTCTGATCCCTTACAGGCTCAAGTGAAAAAGAAAATGCAGCAAAGGAGGTACCTGGTTGAGGTTGTTCTGGAAATTCAAGAAAGCCATATCACATCCTGCTTGGCGAATGATTTCCAAACTTAAGGATTTTTCTTCATGAATAATGGCCAGATGGAGAAATCTGCAATAGGAAAGCAGTGGGAAAAACCCAATGATGAGCCAAAAAATTCCAGAAGCCCTGAGTTAGCTTTCTGGCTTCTCTCCGTCACGTGGGCAACGTGCCCGCTGGAGACACGGAGGCGATTTCGAAAGCCTGGGGTTTTCAACGCTGCGCGCTGCCCCAGTCTGGTATTTTCCGCGGACGAGCTGAGTGTTCCGGGCAAGGCGCCAGGGACTTTCCAGCCCTGCACCCCGCCCGGCGCTTCTTCTGGCTCCTCCCTCTCACAGCTAGTACACCGAGTTCCACAACCTGGCCACCGGCCAAGTACAAGCAAGCGACGTGGGAGGGAAAAACCCAGTTTTGTAAAAAACCCCGGGTTTTTTAGGTAACTAGCAAAAAGGAGGGGCATCAAAGGAATCATTCTTCCCAACACCCCTCCGCTTCCTCCGTTCGTTTCTAGGGATCAACACGGAAATTCTAACTTTCTTTCCAACCCCGATGCTACGGCAGGGCACCAAAAAGGTGATTCAGACTACACGGGATGGACGTCAACGGAGGTTTAAAATTCTACTTTTTTCTAAATTAAGGGCGCTGGTGCTACGATACTCGGATGCGTGTTTTCCCAAACCACCAGCCATAATTCTGAACGAAACAATTAGACCCACGTCCGGGCAAGGTTTCTCGCCGTGGCGCATGCATTCTCAAGGGGTCCCAGCGCTTAAGTCCACACCGTCTGCCCATGTACAAGTGTCCATCTGCACACGGCCTACGGCTCGCTTACAACTCTCACTCAGTCCCCTCGCCTGCACCTTCCTCGGTAGCTTTTTCCTTCGCGATCGTTCTAAAATGGAATTCGAATTCCCGGGGGGTGGGGTGGGGACGAAGACCAAAGGAACACTGACAGGCAACGTCGAACCACCTTAACTGCAGCGGAATCTCCTCCACGCCCGCTCAGAAGTGTATCTTTACGCCATTTCCCACTTAATTTTCTTGCCCCCCGCCACAAAAGCAGGTTTAGGTTCGCGAACGTCACCGTGACATCCACGGAATTCACTTCTTGCAGAGGCCAGTGTGCACGAGCCCGACACCCTGACCGAGAGAAGAGGGCTCCCTTTCAACACCTCCCCCCGCCCGCATTTGCAACCAGCGTCCCAAGACTTACGTATCTCCGTCTTCAGTCACTTGCTGCTTCCAAGCCTGGGTTGGGTGGCTCGGGTCGGCCTGGAGGCCCAAGGTGGCGTCCACAGGCTGGATTCGAATATCTTCCAATTCCCGGACGAGATTTTCGTACTCCTCGTCCTTCATCGAGCCTAGGCCGCTGTCGTGCCTATCGTCCTGGATCAGGCTGAGCTGCCTGTCCTTCTTCAACACTTCCCGGGGGTGAACGTCCATCGTAAAATCCATCGGGTAATCCAGAGTACTTGGACTGAGCATGACCTTGTGCGACAGTGCACAAACAGTAAGTCCCGCGCTCGCTCTCCACTTCAAACAGTTCCAAACTCTTTTGAGACGCTGGCGGGCGGCGGCGGCGCTTGCCTATAGAGCCTCGGCCGAGGGGATTTTTGCACGGGGCGGAGCTTACGTGCCTGGGAATTTCCCAAGCAAAGTAGAACAGCGAGGTTTCAACTAGTCTGGTCCTGTCTGGAGGCTGCCGCTGTGCAGAGTGCTGTGGCTGAGGAATTCCCTCCCTAAGTCATTCTCTGGAAATTTTTTCCTTTTTCTACAGAAGGGAAAGTACTTCTTACAACTCCCTGTGACTAAGGCCGTTACCCTCTTCCATGCCTTGCGCTTCTTGCCTTCCCTCTGTGCAATTCCTTGCGGATTTGCACGGATTGAGGGTGAGCAAAGGTTTGCAATTCCTTGAACGCCCCTCTTTGGGAATCCCCTCATTTAACTGTAAATTTCCTTTCAGTTTGGAAAAGATTGTCGGTCTCTCTCGCGAGGCGGAGAGTGGGAAAGTTCCTTTGCACAACAAAGCCGTCCTTGCGGGGGGAGGGGAATCGCAAGCTTTAAATTTGAGGCAGCACCTCAACTTTTCCTTGGTAACGGGAGTCGCTGTTCTCTTACACACACGCACAAACCCCACATTGCAAGTAGCAAAGGATGTGATTTTTTTTCCTGTTTGCACATAGCCATTTTTGCTAACGCTTGAAAGCGGCAAGATTTTCGCGGCTGGAAAATCTTTCGTCTTTAACGGCTGCAAGGCAGGCAGAAATGCGTCAGTGAAATGCCTCTTTCCTGCTTTGTGGACTTGCCTCAAGCTTCGTGTTGTTCTATACTATAAAGCGCAACAAGAAGAACCTGGGTTCTTGCTTATAAAACTTTATATTAGGGCCTCTCTTGTTTTTGCTTTGAAAAAAACAACCGTGGATGTGAAGCAAGTTGATAGGCGTTTGGGAACGCAAAGCCACTCTCCTTAACTACCCACCCCCCAAAAAAAGGTTAGAAGTGCAATTGGGGGGAAAGATGGGTGGAAAACAGAATCAAGAGCCTGGATCCGTCAGGCCCTGACTTGCCTTTTGAGATCTTAGTACTGTGAAATACCCAGTTTCAATGTAATTACTGGGTGATTTTTAGGGGGGAGGGGGTTCCTTTCTGTTTCTGCCTG